CTCTGTCCATTGACCATAGATACCCGTTTTTCTTTCCCCTCTCTCAACGCAAGCCCACCCCACACCTACACATTTTTGTTTGATTTGCATACATTGTGAACTTAACAGCCGGCGGCGAACGTCGCTCCACTGTATTTGGTCTACGGTGATGGTGACATGCATTTATTTGCAGGGAATTGGGCTTGAATGTTTACTGACACCGACACGAAATCAGTTTATTCGTAGGGGGTTCCGTTATCGATGAAAATATAGAAACTCGCCATTACTTGGCTTTATTTAAAGATAACTCCGTTCAAAGACGTGGATGCATAAACATTTCCAGAATATTGAACACCGTGGACAGGAGTACAGCCCCATTACGGTCATCATTCATTCTGCAGTATTATAACCATTAAGACGGCCAAGTGCGTGGCGTACCGTCGTCATACCCGATTTGTTCACCATGCTTTACAACATCAACCTTTGTAGGAAATAAAAATTTTCAACGTTTGTTGATCTCAGAACATTCCGGTACTTTTTGATCTAATTCGCCTACAACGAAGTTGTGGGTTTCGATCAAAGATTAATGACAAAAGCTGTAAATCCTCCAGTAAACCTAAACATTCATATGATAGTCTTTCAGACGAGGATTGTGCTCTGTCACTGTTACGTATTGTGAATGACTGAAATATATCCTTTTAATTTTAAGATTGTCATTCTTCATACACCTGATAAATTTTTTAATACTTTTGACGTTACACTCCAAAATTTCGATTGATGCAGTGATAACAGTAAGCTTTTATCGTGTCTCCTTGATCTATTCGCTGTTTCATCTCAGCAGTCATTTGGGTGACTTTCTCATGGTTATTCAACTTCCCCTTCGATACTCGCTTCCCGTTAGGCCCGTTCCGAGTTGAAGGACACCCGTGATCAACTTGCATTTTCCGCACACCGCATGCCCACGGGCACATCGAACCGCATAGGTTCTGCTGAGAGGGATTGTGCCACTCGATCAGCCAAGTCCCCGGATCGAGTATTACTTCAACGTCTCGGTTGCGATCGCGATCGTCTAGCCGACTTATTGCATCAGATGACCGTCGAACGAGACTCGCTTCGCGACCGGTTACACGCGTTGACTGAAAAAGGATTGAATGAGAAAGCACGATTGCTACAACGTTTGGAAGAGGCCGAGGAGGAATTGCACACACTGCAGAAAGTACACTCTGCTGATGCCTTGACTCATTCGGATCTGTCAAAACGTATAAACCTTTTAGAAGCTGAACGCCGACAGTTGGTGAGTATGATTTGATATATTTTCATATATGTTCATCACGAAGAGACTGTGCCTTGATGTAGTGTGATGGCTTATCCACCTCTATGACCAAAAGGGCGGCACAGGTTGGCTTTAATTAAGCCTGGAGACATCTGTCCGAGGCATCATATATCTGATGATTCAGTAGAATTAATGGAGAAAAAGCGGCAAATGACAACCGCCCGGGGATAGGTGGTGTCTTCAAGAAGAACCTAAAGAAAGACCGTGAGAACTAGTGGGCATCAACAGCTAGCGAAATCGAAGTTGCAGCTGCATCAAGGAATAGTCAAAGTCTGTTCCAAAACAACACAACACCGCAGGTCGGTGAACCTCCGTTGGTGAAATAATCTGCTTTAAAAGTGGACAAACTATTCACAGTAGAGAACAACGGCTTGACCGGTGGGCAGAGTACTTCAACGAACAGTTCAGCTGGTCAGGTGCTAACCACGCTATCTCGTTTGTTGTAGTTGAGGCTCCGTCGNCAATATCATGTGAACCTCCTACTGCAGCAGAAGTTCATTATTGCATCCAAGCCCTGAAGGAAGTAAAAGCAGCAGGACCGGATGGGCTTCCTCACACTCTTTTCAAGATGGGAGACGATGACTTCGTAGATTCCATTACCGATTTAATACGTAACATCTGGTCACAAAAGCACATTTCGTCATCCTGGAGCAAATCGCTGATCGTTCCCATTTTTAAGAAGGGATCTCGCAACGATTGCACACTGCCCTGCAGTACGTTTGATCCCAATCGTCAGCAAGGTATTAGCCTCCGTCATACCTCGATGTCTAACACTATTCAGTTAGACAAATATCCGCAATAAACAAGCAGGATTTCGATCAGGTTGCGGTTGTATCGACCAAATTTCACATCCTCAAACTACGCCAACAATTGTCGTGTTCCTTGACCTAAACGGAGCTATGGACTCCGCTGACCGCGAATCCCTTGTGGGTCCGCTGCTTCGTAAAGAAATGCCGCAGAAGTATATGAACATACTGAACACGCACACTTGTGGTAGCATAAGTGTCTGCGGCGAGCTGAATAGCTCGCTGGTAATTAGCAGCGGTGTTCTTCAGTGGTACCCTGTTTCCTCGTCAGGGTTGCCCTCTCTCCTTTTTCTATTTAACTTTGTTACAGATCGATTATGGAAACAGCCCTATCCTCCTGCGAGGATAGTGGCATCAATTTAGTTCCATGTGGCGGACTGTCTAATCCAGAGTATGCAGACGATATTATGCCGCTAATTGAGTGCCAGTGTAGCCATGTTTGGTAC